AGTAACCTAACTCAAAACAACGGACAATGCAAACTGTATTGATTGAAATGCTGACCCTTCTCTCAGCTAAGGCTCACTGAGCTGCTGCTCCCGGAGTGGGGGCATTGGCAGGTCATAGCAAACAGCTCCACTTCCACAGCTGTTGGAGAGGAGTCATCCAAACAACTTAATACCCTCACCTCCAGAGGAACTTTGCTCAAATATAATGTTAATCAAAAAGCACTTTCCCTGACTTGACCTCTTTCTCTTCATTAATTCAGTCTGAGAAATAGATCTCGTTTGTTTTTCATGCCCAGCCCAACCTTCTCTTTGTTATTCAATTTATAAATGTGTCAAATATAATTAAAACTGGCAGAGGCCAAGATTAAACCAAACAAATGGTAAATATTGCTTGTGCTATTTGGTTGATGCAAAGCTTGCACTATAAAAGGCTTTTAAATAAATGAATTCAGCTGTTACTATGCTGCAGTACTGAAACCTTGCTCCAAGTGTTTGAATTGTTCAAGGACACTGTCAGGTCATCTTAGATTCAAAATCTAAAATACGGCTGGGATTTTGAAATTGCCTAAAGGAATTAGGTACCTGACTTCTACTGAAAGTCAGTGTACAGTGGGAAGTGAATTGACTTTCAGCAAGAATTAGATGCCTTTGAAAAGTCTATTGATGTCCTTGTAAACAGAGGACCATGTCCTTCATGGAGATAAATTAATGTAACTCCTTTGACACCTGTATACCCAGCAAATTTTACAAAACATAAGACAAGCCAAAAAAACCCTAAGACCTACCTTTACTTATTTGATTGTATTTTGGTTAGCACTAAATATTTCCTTTCAATGTGCAATAATTATATTGTACAATAATGATATTGTTAGGGGGTGGTATAACTATAAGCCCAACTTCCAGGAAATTAGTCCATTAAGGACTTTCAGTTTCAGTCTGCCAGGCTGCAACTTGCAGTTTAACCCACTGATTTTAGTGGTTCTCCTGACCTGTTGAGTGCAGATTCGGAGCCTCAGTACATCCAAGGTTTTCCCCAAAACATTTTTGCATTAAAAAACCCACACCCGTACCTGATTAGCCATCATGCATTTTCACAGCAGGCAATGGGGAAACTCAGTACTTTTGAAAGCACGTTTCTGTCTTGCTGACTGAGATTTTAGTGCTAAGCAATACGGCATTAAAATTGAGATTACACAGCTTTGAAAATAGATCCCTGGCTATTTGACACTATTTCCTTTAATTCCTCATCACTACTTTAAAGAGTAATGCAAGAAATGCGATGTTGTCTGCATTTTTATTGTATCTTTTTTTCACACAGGATGGGCATTTGTCACTCCTATGCTAAATTCTGCTTTTTTTGGCACATGTATGTTTATATCTCCACATGTTTTATGACTTTAATACCTTGACGCTACATTATGAACTGAACTTTTTGGGATTCCACTGTCCAATGCCTTTAGAAAACACAACTGTAGTAGTACCATTGGACTGGAGTCAGAAATTTCCCATTGTGATCTTAAAAGTCTTCTTATTTATCCCCAAATATTCTCTAAGAGTTCTACCGGTCTTCTAGGTAAAGCTACCTCATTCAACATTCAGCATGGCTTCTGGAGGGTGAACTCCATGTCAGAGGTCTCTTGGGGACAGCATGACATCATGATAAAAGATGGAACAGTCACAGAATGTACTGGTCCTTCATGTCCGAAATGTCAATTCACATCTGAACAGAGATGATTAGACAAAATTAGTGCACTTATTCCCTCTTTATCTTCAGTGGACATGAAATCAGACCACAAAACAGGTGCATAGAGCCTTGCAATTGGCAGGCTCGGGTCACGAGGAAGCCAGTGCTTGAGACAGTAGAAGGTCAGGACTGATCAACAAAGGCAGAGCTATTGCGCACCAAAGATCTCATACAGCCTTGCCCAATCTGTTTGATCAAGACTACATATTAACCCCTTGCTTTCATAACCATAGATGTTTTCAAACTTATTGAAAATAGCTGATAAAGATTCCTCTGTGGTGATGGGTAACAAGGCTTGGTATCACAAAGAATGGAAAGGAGCAACATAACTGTCTCATGTCTTGCGAGCAATTGAAACCATCTGAAGACTACATTAATGATCTGCTACTGGGATGCATCATATTCTAAAAGCTAAATAATCTCTGTTGAATTGACTATGCAGACTGTAATATTTTATCTATTTCCATCAGTGTATATATGTTTTTCTCTCCTTCAATTTGCTTTCTCACCTATTTGCTATGAATATTGCCCTGTATTTAGACTTCCAGAACCAAATTTTGAAAGCTAATTGGATATGGAAGGATTTGAGTGAAAATCCTATATGGAAGCCAGATCCTTCATTAACAATGACACAGAACTATATAACAAATTAACTCAAGAAACTTGCATGTTTTGCTGATTTGTCTGTGATAATAATGTGTATTACTTCAATCATCTGGAAAAGGGAGTAGTGTTGAGTAACTTTTCCTGTGTTCAGTGCTCAGCAAAATCTGACATTTGCAACTAAGTGTTATTAACTCTCATAAATGGAGAAGTAAGCTGCAGTTTTCAAGACTGTGACTGTCTGCCCAGAATGAGAGCCCTGCTTAAGCAATGAGTCAAGTCCTAAACTATTTCTGCTAGTTGGCGGCATGAGGAACACTTTTGTAACAATGAGATCTTGGGGTTACAGGCAGTGAACAGAGGCATTGGTGAATGAGTCTGGAAAGAAGGCTTCAGAGCAAGACTTTTTTTATATCCAAGTATTTTTATTCAGTGAGGTTGAGACAAAGAAGGTCTTGGGAGAAAAAAAAAAAAGTGTAACAATGTAATGGTACTATAATATCATCTAAAATAATTCAGTGGCAATTTTTGCTAATACATAACCCCCCCAGAAACAAGTCAGACTGCTTTTCTCACCAAAGTTAGGGTTTGGGAGCTGATTCAGATTTTACATGGATCCAAATAATAAGGGATAATATTAGGGATATTCCACTGCTGCACAGCTGAGTAGATATCAGAATTTGGACTAATGGCTTCAGCTCGAAGCTTTCCTTGTAACTGAGGGTGGCAGGATTTGACTTTTAATCAGGACATTTTAGCTGTAATATGTCAAAAAGAGCTTGCAATACTTTTCATTAGTTAAGTACAGTTGTTGAATCTAATATCTGGTTTTACTTTATTATATGAAAGGATTCCAAGAGGTATGTTTTTGTTTTCAAATTCAAATATTGTTTGAAATGGGTATTAAAATGTTATCGTACAGTATTAGGAAACTAAATAAAAGAACTTTTGGCCAGAATGAAGGAAAAGCATATGATATTAATTCCTAACCCAAATTAAACTGAAAAGGCTATCTGCATTGTTCTGAATGAGAGAAATTAAGAACTGCATACTGGTGTTTTAAATTCCCTAAAACTGTAGTATTCTGCAAGGTTTTCTACCTATGAGAAAACATTTAATCCTGATGCATGTACTGTTCTCTTCAGGGGGAAGTGGATCAGGTCCTTTGTGACCACTTCTCATATACTGTTTAGCTTTAATGCATTGCACGGTTTAAGGACAGCCAGGAACTCAGCCCAGTCTTCCTTAAATTCTTGCTAGACTTTATGTTAATTTAATCCCTTATTTCTCCAGTAACCTAATACAAAGCATGATTTCACTGTCATTAAAGATCACCTTGTTTCCTGTTTTCATATTCTTTTCATTGTTATTCTTCTTCTCATTGAAGTCTCCTTTCTAGTCATAATGAACACTCGGAGTATTTCATTGAGAAAAATGAGGACTTAAACGTTTTCTATTTCCCTAATCAAGACCCTGTCATTATCATCACTGAAAGCCAGAAAAACAGGTGAAGAATGGCAGAATTACATGAAAGGTAAAAAGGACACTGCCAAAGTGATTTTGTGATCACAGTCGCTTATAATAATAACACTGAATGTTGGCATGGCAATCTAATTACATACTAAGGCCTGTTGTGTAAACTCAGTTACTAGTTACATTACATAATGCTGATGCTCAGTTGCATCAGTCACAATTGAACATAATATGAATAGAAATTTGGAAGTCTGATCATTATTGTGGAATACTTCATACAACTCATCAGCAAGGCAGTTTTCAATTTAATTTGATATTTTTGAAACAGAAAGCCACAGTGATTCAATTCCAGAACAAAAAGTAGCCTAGAAAAAAATCACGTGTTTTGCAAATGGAGAGAAGAAAACAAAAGTAGGATAAATTTTTATTCTCTCACTTTTGACAGTATCCTTTTAAAGGGAAGACTAAATTAAATTCTAAAGGCCAAATTCTCTTCTCATTCATATTGCAATACCTCCAGAGTAGTTCTACCAACTTTCATAGAATTACTCCAGATTTACACAAATGTTAATGACAGCAGACATTGGCTTTTCAAGCCTAGCCGTTTCACAATAGGAATACATTTTAAGAAGTGATATATAAAAGATAATAGTTTGGGGGTTTTTGTTCCATTAAATTAGATCTGCAATATCACAGAGAAAGGCTGATTCTTCTTTTGGTCTCAGATAAGCTTCTTTCAGAACACAAGTATGACGAGAGTGAAACAGCTCAGAACAATCTTTGAATTAAGAATGTGTTCAGTAAACACACTTGGTTTCTTCCCATACTGCAGTATGGGAATAGTATAGGATTTCTTATCCTGACATCCGTATTTCACATAAATGGAGAACAGGACATGGAAAATTGATCTGAAGGCTAAATTAAATTTCTCCTGCAGTGACCTGTTTGAGGAACAGAAGGAAGGGGAAGAAGGAAGGCTGAGACTGGTGCAATTCAAAGAGCAAAGACATTACGTGACAGCCCCAGAAAAGCGTCAGAGGTCTTCCAACAGGAGGTATGCCATTCACATCCATTCTACTCTCTGGCAACACTATGTCCCTAGCTGTTTCCACCTGATTCACCTTGTTTCTGTACTTGTTGAAATGATTCACACAGTTTCACTGTTATTACTCTTATTATTTTACCTATCCACACTTGTCTCTGCCAGTCTGTTATTCATAATTGCTAGGGCTCCAACCCCACCAGAGAATCCATTTTGCTTTGAATTAGAGCTCATTTGCCTCGGATAGCCGTTAGCAGTTTCCGACAGCTGTTTCTGCATGATGGCCAGCGAGACTTTATTGGAGGCCAGGAAGTCTTTCATGGAGATCATCTCGCCTGACTGCCGGCGTCCATCTGTGTCGCTCTCATTGACAACATCAGTCTCAACAGAGATGTTTCTCCGGCTGCGCACGTTTCCCGGCATTACCACGTTCCTCCGTGAACGAAGTAATTTTCTTTGGCATCTGTGGCAGCACCTGCAGTCCAGCTTCTTTAATATCCAGTTTATGGATTGTTTGATGACAATAGAGATCACATTAAATAAGGAATAGATGCAGCACACTCCCATGAGTATGAAGACAAAATTGCCAAAGCGGTAAAGGCCTTGGCTCTCATACTTGATGTTCTGGCTACTGACCAGGTCACCGAAACCAATGGTGCTGAAGGCCACAAAGCAGAAGTAAAGTGAGTCAAAGTAACTCCACCCTTCAATTGGTGTGTACATTGCAGAGGCACAGCAGGAAATGATGAGCGATGCTACACATAAAATCAGCATGACATAGTACACGGAGGGCTTCCAGCCTGCCAGGCTGTCCACCTCAGAGGTCCCTGAGCCCCGCCGGCCATTGTGAGGGAGGACCCCTTTCCTCCTCAGCTGTCTTTCATGGCAGGACTTCATGACGTAGGCTATGACAGTGATCAAGCGCTCCAGGAACAGGTTGAAGAACAAAATGGTCCCTGCACATCCTATAAGGCCGTAAAATATCAGAAAGATTTTGCCTCCAACGGTGGCTGGGGTCGTCATGCCAAACCCTGGAAGACAAAATCGAACAGTAGAAAAAAATAAACCTGTAGTTACCATGTCAGGAGTTTTGTCACAGAAAGAACTGGCAGGAAATCCCTGTGGCACACCTCAGCTCTGGAAAAAAGTGAGGACACTCTCCCAAACTTTTACCTACTTGTGCTTGACCTTGTCTCAGCAGTAAGGGGAAGAAAATTCATGTCAGCATTTCCTCCAGAATAAGAATTAAACAAAAAGTGGAAGAAAACACACTGGAAAGAAAAGAGAGTTTAGTGAAGGTCTGAATTTTGGTCTGGTTGCTAGGCTTGCTCCATCCCCCTTTGTGCCTTGGATCACTTCCAGGCTTCAGGGTTATCGCACCCACTTCCTTCTCTCTTATGTTGCTCTAAAACATCGGTCTGATCCAGATATGGCTCTTACCTCGCAGGGGTCTGTCCCCACCAAATCTTTGTAACCCAAGGTGAAATCTTTCTAAGCCTCACTTAGCTGCTGCTGTAGGTGTGGGTGGCACATCAGCCAGCACCGAGCACTCACCACAGCCCAGCTGAGGAAGCCCAGGCTGGGAGCACACACCGGAGGAGGCAGCCCCTGACAGGGGAAGCAGCCCCTCATGGGGGTCCCCAGCAGGCGTTGGAGCTGCCCTGCATCTCACGCTGGTGTTGGTCACCCCTTATCAGCCCTCTTTTAAATCAGCATTGCTGAAGTTTTTCTATTTCTTTGTGCCCCACTGCACAGCTCAAATATATACGTGAGTCTTAACGAAAGCCTCCTCTGGTCCCATTCCCTGTCATGGGATTTCTCAGGTCAGAGGCGCTTCAGTCGTCTCTCAAATTCCTCCCTTCCTAAAGCCTGCAAATAGTAATTTTGTTTTGGTTACAGCTATTGATAAGACAATTTTGCTGTAGTAAGATATTACTAAAAAATAAAATGTCCAGAACATCACTGAGCAAGTTTGAGTAATACTCATGATAAATAACTTTGCTCCTGTTTTATTAAGATGAATAAGGGATTACATATCTGATCAATTAAGCCAAAATAATCTTGTTGAGAGGACAGAAAAATCATGTTGGACAAGAGACACTTTTATTTGTTTCCCTCTCTTTGTAATTGTGAGATGTTAATTATGAAATAAAGACATTAGGGTCTGGGAAGTAAAGGAAATCGTATTCAGTGCGATACACTTGTGCTTGGAAGACACAGCTGCAGCGTGAAGACATCATGTTTCCAGCAGTGCTGAATTGCACTCATCTTCACTTCACTGGAAAGCTGCTGGCAGCTCAGATTCCTCTCTAACACTGCTCCTGCCTCACACAGTTAAGTGACAGCCCTCACCTTCACCCCTCCGGCATGACCCCCTCTGAACAGCAGCCCCAGGTGTGGGCTCTCAAGGGTCTCCGCATCTTCAGGCAAACCACAGCATCCAGAGGATGAGGAAGCACAAGCCTCCTCATCAAATTTGTGTGCTAGAGAGAGCTGGCCTGCAGCTCTGTGCCATGGGGAGCAGCACCACAAGACAAACCACATAGACAAAATGTTCTTTGTGACAAGAACTTTTCGCCATTGTTCCCCTTGGCGCACAAATATTTCCACTCGCTTTCTACCTTCCCCTTCTGCTCCATGACCTGATCCCTCTATAATTCTAGTTTTGATGCTTATTTTCTGTGTAGGCTGGCTTATATGCAAGTCATGACCTCCACCCTGTGGACAGACACGTAAAGACTGATGGATGAAGGGAACTCCTCTGCAGCTGGTAGGACCTGCCCAAAGCAGCTGGCAGGCAGGGAGGTGGGGGCTGCTGCGTCCCTGGCCCACCCTGCTCTTTGAAGAAGAGAAGCGGCTGCAGGCTGGGCAGGGGTGGAAAGGTGGGGAGCCTCTGGCACAGGGTGAAGGGCAGTGGGGACCAGCATGCATCTCTCACAGCATAAAGCAAATGCTCTGGGAAGACAAATGTAGTTCAACCTCACAACTCCCGTGTGGCGTTATGCCTTCAGGCTGCTTCTCACAGCCCCTCTTGGGATCCTGCCACCGGCATCACAGCTAGAGCCTGAGCTCCTCAAGTTCGTTCGTTTAGTCAACTGGATTTTTATCCAGAGCTCAGCTCTGCCTGTGTAAAAACCCACTAGCAAAGGCTTTACAAAGGCACCCAAACAGGCACGACGGGAAATGCATGGTGAACTATAAATACCAAAAGATGCAAAACATTGAGCCAGAGAGGCAGTGAGGCTCTGACTGTGACTCTGCCCCTTGTCAGCTCCTCCGCTTCAGCAGGGGCACTGTTTTGACCTCCTGGAGTAAATGTAATTTTTTGTTCATTTTTCTATTTATAAATCTCAATATGTAGCAATCAATACTAATATTTCCACAGAAGCACTAAAATGGAAAACCTAAAAGCAGTATAAAGATATTAATTTAACAAGTATTTTCCTTCAAAGATCATTTGTCAAAAATGAGCTATAAACTTTTAGTTCCAGAAATAATTTCAGTTCTTGAGATGCCTTGTATTTCCATGTACTGGGCCACACTACGCCTGGTTAACTTTGACCATCACAGTATTACACTCAGGACTCATTTGGGATGCTGTATTATAGAGTAGGACTTGTTTGACAGTAAGTACATTTTTCTACAAATGGACTCTTGGAGTGTTTGAAATATTCATAAATCCAAGTAAATTTGGTGAATTGTTTCAGCCAAGAAATTCAGGGGGGCAAAATTGAAACAGGCTGAAACAGTTGAAATGAAACTAAATGTTCTTTTTTGGCATTTTTGTGATAAAACTTTTTGTTTCAAAATATCAGTCACGTTTTGGTTAAAAAAAAAAATCAGTTGAAAGTAAAAAGAATGGAAAAAAATACTTTGAAAAATCTTTCAGATTTTTAAGTTTCATAATCTTAAGATGGAACACAACATTTCACTAATGATCAAATCAAACCTATCAAAATTTCATTATATGATATTTTCAACTTCTGAAAGACCTAAAAAAAATCTGTTCCTATACAACTTCAGGTTAAGTTTTTTTCCTGTTTTTTCCTGCTGGCCATCAAACTAGAAATGCACTGCTCATTAATCTCTACTAAAAAGTGAATTCTTTCAAAAAAGCTTTTCATACAACAGCCCTGCAAACGTTAGCTGGAAGTAAATTGTTATCCTTGGTGGGATCTGCCTCTTTTTTCCCCCAAATTTTTGTAAGGAAAAATGTGGCTCATTCATGGACAAGCAGGTATGGCAATAGGATTTGCTCTTGCGTTAGTAAAATCACTGATGATCTTGTGCTGTGCAAACACAGAGGACCTATGGATAAGTCAACTCTTTCATGAGGTGAGTGACAGCTCTCACACCAAAACTCTCCCCTCTAACCTAAGGACACCAAAATAAGCCTGTTGTCTGCATGCTGGGATCATACACGTTGCTCGGGCATCAGAGGAGCTGTAAGCTGCTCTCTCTGAAAGCAGAGACAACGCTTCGCACAGTAATGCCTGTCCTGGGGGCAGGTATCTCCATAAGTCCTGGACATATCTCCCCATACGTCCCCTCTGCATCCTGGACCTGGTCAGGGTTTGCAGTGGCTCTTTTGTGTGGAGAGACGTGAATGAAGGCTGGTGCAGAGCCGGGTGACATCTCCACGTGAACCTGGGTCATGCACCCAGTCCTGACAGCCACAAAGTGCACCTGTGTTCCCCCACCAAGACACAGCATTAGTGCCTCACCGTATATTTTCCAGAAGATTGATGAGACACTAGCAAAAACAGTATTTATCCCCTCTCTTCTGCTTCAGATACTCTACAGGGCAAGGGACTAAAAAAAGTGGATTCCCTACTTTGCTTGTAAAATGCCTTTTTTTCCTTCCATTATGGAAAAGGATAATGAAGTCTGGGGTGCTACTGCAGCATTTAAAAACTGAACTATTGCAGCATTTAATTTTTTTTGCAAAAGCGTAATGTGAAAAAAATGCCTGGCAGGTCTCTCCATAGCAGCTGAGGGTTTCTCTGACATGCCACGTGAGATGCTGCCTACCTGACAAACTGAACCAGAGAGGAACAGGCCACAAGGTATCTGAATTACTATTGATATGCTTGATTGAGGCACCATTTTTAATCAAAAATATTTAATTCTGCAGCTGAAATTTGTCGGTTTGAAGTCTTGGCACAATGGTAGGACACCTATCGTTCTGCCTGGTGTCTTTCTCCAGTCCCTGCACCATCCCAGGAGAATTGTGCTTCCCCTGTTCCCTGTTGGGGTACCCCAAAACTGGGCCAGCACCCCCCATTTCCATGCCCATGACTGGTACATGCAGAACTGCCCCTGAGCTGCCCTCTCTTCATAACAGAGAGTAGAGCCTTACAAACAGCAGACTTTTCATTTCCAGTCCCTTAAAATGTTAACCAAAGGCAGAGTACTTATAACTTCAATGATTCCTGCAAACACTAGCAGAAAGACTGTACATATAGACTTGCGAGTTCATTTTTGCTGTCTTCTTGAGATAGCTAAGAGTGTTGCATGCAAGTATTTCTCCACTGTAATTATAAGATCAGGTTTATTCACAAACTGGACCTACATATCTTTCATAGCTGCAAGTCGTGTTTATAAGAAAATGTAGCTCTTGGTATTGTCATTGTCAAATCCACCATCAAAATACATACTACACTTGTGTAACTAAGCCTTCCTAGTCGCTTGGCTTTTCTTACAGCAAAAATGATGGGTTTAGAAGCAATTGCCATGTTTTTCCTTTCCACCTACTGCAAGAGGTGGTCATCATCCATGTTCTATGTGCCAGCTGAGGGGTGTCAGCTGCCCTGGGATTAGAGACTTCAGGTGAGCAGGACCAAGCTGCAAGGACACAGAATCTCCATACTGGGTCAGATCGCTGTCTTTGACAGTAAAAAAAAATAAGAAAGTGTGAATAGGGAAGAAAATACGAACAGAGTGATCTTCCCCTGGGATATCCTCCCAGCTCGCAGAAATCAGCAGTTTAGAGGCTTGAAGGACATCACGTTTAATAATTCGATCATCAACC